AACATACAAATAAGAGAGGAGAGATAGAAGAGACAAGAACAGTATAAAACGGGGGTAACATAACAGTAGAAAAGAAGATGTAGTTTATGTATGTGTACAGATTCAATCGTCAAACTGAAACATCATCCCGTAAAGAATAACCTTAAAAGCAAAACGCCGTGCCTAGCTGCTTTTATAACCGGCTCCGCTAAAAGCAGAATAGTATACAGTACGCCAATGAAGCGGCTATGATTAGGAAAATGGGGAGGGTCATGCGGAGGGGGTAGATTGAAGGGGAAAGAGGTGGGTTGGAGAAGGCATTAGAATTGGATGGGTATCCCAGAGGGGGTTTTTGTCGTTCAGAGAATGCAACAGAGAATTTATGCATTCTTCACGACGCCAACTTTAGCGGCCTATAGAAGATGTCAGTTATGGTTCCGTCGTGGTATATATAAAGTGCAAAACGTACCCTGAGGATTCTGCCGTTGAGGGTGAAACCCTTGTTCTGAACGTGCATGATATCGCCGTCCTGCTTGCCCTCCATTGGAGACATAAACAAAGCCTCATGCCTGCTTGGGTCGAACTTCTGAGGTTGACCATCTACCAGCTCGGACGGATCGAATCTGACAACACCGTGCTTCTTGAGGGTGTTCATGAGCACGCCCTCCGTCATCTTCAGGCCGGAGAACAGCTCGTAAACATCCTTGTTTTCCTTTGCATTGGCAGCATCGACCTTCTCAGGAGGAACAGCTGCAAGCGCACGCTCCAGGTTATCAATTGACTCGATGAGGTCTGCGGCAAACTTCTGGATAGCAAAGGTACGAGCAGCTTCGATATCTCGGCGAGTCCGCTCTTGCAGGTTGCGGAAGTCAGCTACAGAGCGAAGGTATTTATCCTAATATTCCAGGCCAGAGTTAGCTCTAATCAACTGCATGTACAACTTGCATATCGATCTGATGCGCTGCATACCTTCAAATCAACCACTTCCTTCTCACGTGTTTCTAGATCCTTCTTCAATGTCTCGAGTTCAGATGGCTTTTCAGCTTCGGCAGCTTCTTCGGCCTTGGGCTTTTCACCGTTGGCTTCCGTTGAAGCGTATCTGCTCTGTACTCTGGAGGGCAATGATCGTGCTGCTAGCTGTTGGGACTGGCGGATGATAGCTGACTGTCTGTGGATGGGGGAGACGATGGACGAGGGAGCCGCGGAACCGGCAAGCCGACTTTGTCTGAGAAGTGCTCTGCGGAACATGATGACGGATTTTGTATATATCTCTATCTATTCACGCTTCAATTGCAGCAAGAAGATCAAGGAAAAGGAGCTGTTCAGGTCGAGTTCTTGTATATGAATATAAAATTGCACGTCTTGAAGCATCAAATTTGACAGCAAGAAAAAGTTGAATTTCGCAAAGCTTGGCGGAGTCACGTTTTTCCGTTCCGGTATTTTTTTTCTTTTTTTTTTTTTCCTGGAAGGTTCCATTTTAACAATCTCCAAATCAACCTCAAACTTGATATCAGAAAGCGAGAAAGCTGAAGGAAAGACTTGTTGATTAAAACCCTCCTATATGATATTAACTACGGCTATGTTTTGACTATCCAGTATTCAAAGAATTTTTATCGCTTGCCCAAGGGTATATCGTCTATTTTCAGTCGCCCAAAAGCGGGCAAAACCTCTTCCCAAAGGGCCCTATCCCAGAGTCCTATGATTCCTGTTGGGATGTCCATGGTCCTATGGTCGCAAAGGAAATTATTACGCCGAATGAAATGCTTTTGACAGAGAGCGTGGGAGGGCTAGCTCTGCCAACCCGTGTGTGATGTTTGATGGGAGAACGCCCGCTTAGTCCAATTCAAGGTATAGATGGACGGTGTCGAATTTGATAAAAGAAAAGAAGAAGAAAAATAGTTATGTGCAATGAAAGTGGACGGTTAAAGGAGTGATCATATCCACGGTTTGTCGGTGTTTGATCGATGGAGTCCCGCATCGGCATATATTATGATTGATTCGAGGTCACTTCGCCGGCTGTCCTTTTCGCTGATGCTGGTATAATCGCTTATACTTCGGCTGTGACTGGGCTCCTTTGGAGCAGGTTGAGGTAAGTTGAGGATGGCGACCATGTGCTCCAATAGCTTCTGTTGGATCTTTGCTCGCCGCTCTTCTGCGTATTCGAGTTTTGTCGCCCATTCGTCTATCGATTGGTCGATCTCTAGCAAAGCTTCTTCTTGCTTGAGGACGCCCTCGGGGGAGAAACTGGAAACCCCGCTGGCTGATTTGAGATATGATATCACTCTACCATGCAGACGTTGTCTGTCTGATCGAAGAGCAACATGAGTGTCTCGAAGGTATTTGCAATGTTTATTAAGAGTATGCATTTCCTGCTCGTCCGTTAGCAAGGAATACTTCAATTTCTCCAGTTTTTAGTGGATTCAAGGGGGGTCCAGCCTACCTGTGTGAGCGAAGATACTTCGCTGTATTTGAGAACTTCGAATCTCTGCCCCCTTCGCCGAGCCTGGCTTTGAAGTTCTTCGATTTCCTGACAGGTCAACAGCATAGAGGCTGTTTGGATAGAATACCCCGGCGGCAAATTCCCAACCGGAATATCAATATTGTCAAGCCCTGCTCTCCCCCGGGGCTTCTTCTTGGATGGCTTTTCTCTTATGACAAGGTCTTGTGGAACATCATCGCTCTCCCCGGGCGCAGGACTTTCTGGTCGCCGCGTGGCATCTAATCCTAGTATCTTCAACGATTTTGGTCGTTTGTCATGGTATCTTTGGGAGAATTGTGGGAGATCTGCTAGCTGGTCTGCCGGCCGCTCCTTTTCCAACAACAGGTTCGAGGTCGATCCGCCTCGCAGATGAGAGGGATTGGGAGCAGAAGTTGAGTGGACAGCTTCTATATATCGATTCCTGGGGACACCTCGACCAAAGAAATGCGACGGGCTGGTCTTGTCCTTCTTGGGCACTGCAGGTTCAGTTTTCGGAGGCACCTTCGGAGGGATTCCCTCAATTTCAGCCTTGGTCGGGCTCCGCTTGCGCTGCAGCCGGGCTCTAGGTTGTTGCTGATGCTGTGCCATGATCGGCTGGTTGCCTGAGGGCGTAAGTCTTCCGGTTGAATGTGGACTCGGTGACTGTCTGGATGTGTTGCAACTGTTCCCCATCTGTCTGGCAGTGCGCCTGTCGCTGAAACTTGAGTAACCCAGAGGTGAATGGTCGCGAGCCCTCGAAGATGGCCGGGAAAACCCTAGGGCAGTTTGAGCTCTCTCATGGCTCGGGAAATAACCCGGTATCGTAGCTGCAAACGCACTAAATTAGTTCAACCGACTTCAAAACAGCATCGGCATCCAGCTTCCCGCTAAGAAACCGAAAGAGCGAGAGCAAGACGAAAAGAGAGAAAAAGAAAAAGAAAAAAAAAGGTCGTGTCCTTGGGGATTGGGACATACGTGAATCCATGTGTTTTGATTGCCGGTTTGTAGATACTGTCAACAGCGACTCGCGAGAACCAGCAGCCAGCCTGTCACGATTAGGGCCGATATATATGTATCGTCCTGAGCTGGAGGACTCCGGGGTTCGTCCCCTCGAGCTCGCAGAGGCAGTAGATGACCGTTTGGCAGGCGGCCAGAATTGCAGTTTCAGCTTGTCGGTTATGCTCTGTCTGGCCAATTCCGGGGGCTCATAGGTGATCTGAGGAAGCGAAGACGGGTCAGAGGTCAACCAGCGAAGAAAGCGAAAGGGAGGAAGAGGAGGGAAGAGCCAAAGGGAGAAGAGCAGGATGTCAGGGCAAGACGGTTAAATATTGATATACCTTAGGGGAGGTGTCCTTTGCGATTATATTGTTGATGCCGACATGGACATCGAAGTCGTCTATCCATTGCTCGCAGACAGCCATTGCCCTGGTTGAATAAATAGACAACCCCAGCCAGCAGAGGAGCTATAGTGGATCTCGTTAAGGCCGTTTATGGCTATCTTTAATTATATTCTTGCCTTCACGATGTTTCAACGATATCCTGCCCATGCGAAAGCTCCACATTCATTTATTTCACGATTCTGCGTTTAGAGATCCCTGAAAATTGGCACTGCACGCCGGTGGCCTAGCGGACCGTCTTTTGTTCAGGGCAGGTCAAGGCGGATGGAGAGAGACAGGCAGAGATAGGCTGAGTGAGGGACCAAGCATAGGCAGCGTGGGCAAAAGGCAGAGGGGGAGTCAGTGTTAGAGACCCTGGTTGATGACGCCTAAGGGGAGGAACTGTGTCGAGCATCATGTCTCCATCCTTCGTGTGCCCCATAGTCGAGCCGACTTAAAAAGACTTCACTCCAGGGTACTAAATATCCCTGCCAGCCTTTTCCCTTGCCTGCAGCTGCAGAGAAGAGGGGAGCCCAAACGCCTCATCACCGGACTTCGGGGCTAGATGGCTTGCTCTAGTGTGCCTCTGCAGCAAGGCAGCACAAAACTCCGTATGCACATCGTGACGAGGTCACCAGGAGAGTGCGAGCTGCGAGCGAAGATCTGAGCTGCCGGCGGGCTCTGATTGTTCACCGGGAATAAGCAAATATATCGACGCTGAGCAGAAAAAAAGGGGGGGGTGGAGAGAGGTAACTCGAAGGCCGATCAGCTCCCCCCCCCCCCCCCCCCTCCCCCTTCAACTCGTCTCTTCGCTGTACCTGACGCACGTCCAGCAAATGTATGGAGTACTGACTAGCTAGCTTGCTTGCTTCCTAATCATGAATCGACAGGTTGACTTGATTCCCCACGATGATGGGCGGATGGGCGTATACTTAGTGCCCAGGGGCTAATCTTGCAGTAGGGGGTGTTTAGAGAGAGAGAGCGAGAGACACTGCTGGCATCCCGTTTCTGATTACTTCAACCGCCGCTTGCCTGGCCTTCGGTCACTCAACCGAACACAAGTATATGCCTGGATAGTTATGCATGAAATAATTAAATTCGTTGCCCTGTTTTGCCCAAATATGCCCCCGTCCATTTGCAAGGGACGGAGAGCCAACCCTTGGCTGTGAAGGGGGGGCGAAGGATAACTAACTTAACGTTGAAAAAAAAGAATGATAATCCTCAAAGAATCCATCCCAGTCGTTCTTTTTGATAACCTGGATGGCCACGTTTTTGCCCTCGCGCTTTTGCAAACCGACTTTAGCCGGGTCCTTGGACCTGGTCCTGGGCTCTCGGTCCTTGAATTTGGTGTCCTTTTTGAATTTGGTTCTCGAGTAATTATATTTCTCTGAAGCGTTGATTTTTTGTAGTTGCTTTTCGGCTCTGTCCGCCACCCGACCCAAGGAGCAGCAGTAGTATATCGAGTTTATTCGTTAGAGCTGCAATGATATGACCCTTGAAATTATACCTGTCAAAGAGTTAAAAGATGGATTACTTGTCAGGATACTTGCTTATAATCCTGTCCTGCCCTATAGCTGGGGGAGGGGGGTTTGCCTTTTTCACCCTGCCTCCTCCCACTTTGATAACGGGATAGAATGCGCGAGGAATTTCGCCAGGGACGACGATCTGTTCTTTTCTAGCGCCCTCAAGCCTTCGAAGAACAATCCTGATCTTCTAGCCATGGAACAAGGAGACTCACACGTGGGACGTGGATAGCGAGCCAGATATCAACTGCCGGGTACCGAGTCATGCTAGCTGAGTGTAGGCAGATATCCATCGGCATTGCATCAGACGAGAGGCAAAGAGGCAGCTCCAGCAGCTTCTCGCAAATCTTCCCTCGTAAACGAGAAAAAAATAAGGAAGGGAGATCATGCGCAGCGGGCCTCGAAAATCTGGAGTTCGTGCATGGTGATTTGCGGAATAAGGGGGTCATCTAGTTGCCCCCTCGATGTGAGTGGTCCGACCGCATGGGCGATATTGGCTCGATATTCGGCGAGTCTAGCCATGAATCTCGCTGTTTAGACGGGATAAGGTGTATGGATGGGCTTTCGAGAGAGGCAGCTAAACCTCGTACTCTCTTAACTTGTGCAAATTGGTCGGTAGTTTAGTTCCGTTCCCGTGCCTCCCCCGAGCATCCTCTATCCCTCCATCGTCAAGGTCGCTGGGAGGCTGAGACGCCCGTGGGGAACTCGATGGAGAAAGCTGTGCCGCTGTCAAGCCAGCCTGGCAGGTCTTCTGTCCGGATTACGGAGCTCTGGGTACTCCGTCGATGGCGTGGCAGCTCGAAGTACACTTACATATCTCGAACGTTTGCTTGCTTCTCCGGATACAACTCTACCGCACGCCTTGCAGGCATCTCATGCTCGCCCACTTTGTGGGCCTTAAACGAGGCGATGGCGAGCAGCAACGGCTGATCCCCCAGCTTGCGTGCATACGAGATCGATCTGGTGGGCACCCCCCTCCCAGGGACATGTAATTATATCACCACCCACCCGTCCTATACAGTCCTCTCTCGAGGGAAGACAGCAGACAGAATCACAGCCCGTCCGTCCCGAAAGGGAGGAGAGATAGGGAGCTAGGAGAAACCACCCGTTATCCACGACCTCACCGGCAATCTCCGTCAAGACGGGAGCACTAACTAGCGGGCCAGGGGGGGGAGGCTACCAAACAGCTATCGGGAACGCCAATCCTCACCAACTCGAAGCTTTCCCCTCTTTGCTCCGGGGCAAAAGAGAACAGCGAATATCCCTGCTGAACAACCCAGGACGGGCTCGAGAGAATGCAACATCAGCGTAATTCGGGATGAAAATCATCCCAACCCTCACGTCACTTTTTCGTGCCACAAGCCGTCCGTAAAGCCTGAGCATTTCGTCCGCGCTCTCGTCCAGATTGATTCCATGTTTCTTCGGGATTCCCATGGAGGAGGCAGGCGGCTTTTGCTCAGCTATGAAGGTCATACCCCGAGTTTAGCGCGGATATAAACCAATCTCTCTTTAGCAAAAAATATGGCGTCGTCCTCTCAGGGGTCATCCCAACACCAGCCAGATGGTCAAAACGAGCTTTGAGACCTGCATGAACGGTGTGCAACAGGTTTGCTCCGTAACTCTTAGCCCGGTCTCTCCTCTCTGTCCCAGTGTGACTGCCGCCCGTTCCAGGCAGCCTCATCCTTTAGTTCTCTGTCTCGCGGGCTCTGCTCGCCTTCCTCTCCCCGGAGACTTGTCTGTTCGACAGGTCACAGAATAACTGATTCCTCATATGTACGTCCGTTATGCATGTCGATTCCCCGTACTCCATACATGGCCGCTAAAAAGAACCTGTCAGTTCCACCAGAGGCTCGAGGGAAGAGAACAGCTCCATCCTCCATACCCCATTTCGTCGCCTTGCAGCAGGAACTAAGTATATGTGCCCCTTGATCCATCTGTTGACGGCCCTTCTTCCACCTGGCTGTAGCTCATGCGGACCATAGAGTTCTAGATAAGGTAGAGGCGTTGATGAAACATAGAATTGTGGGCCAATCTTGGTGTCTTTTTTGCTTCTTCCGTGCGGTTTTTCCAGCAATAGCAATGTGCTCCGTAGCTAGATGTTTTGTTGATTGATGTCATCTCCACCGTATACGAAGAGCATCTCCATAATAGTAGTGTATACAACCAGCACAGAAGTCCAAGGCGAGCGTTTCCAGATGAACTGCTGCTCACTGACTAGCTGAGCTGTGTATGCATGCACCCCATACGCATCCTCTGGCTGCTGGAGAACTGATGTCCGGCGCGTAGAGAGTCCTATCTAGTCTATCAGCCAGCCGATCAGCTAAGTAGTTAGTGAGCTAGCGAGTGAGGCAGACGAAGCAGTGTCCTCATGATAGATAGAATTCTTCTCGAAGGGAAGAGATGACCCCAGCAACCGTTTTCAGTAACCGTTTGCCCTGCTGGCTGTCTCCCTGGCCTGGCCGCCGTGTCGAGCTGGCTGCCTGTCTGTCCGTGTGCGAGCTAAGGATGCCGGCCAACCCTGACCAGACCAGCCAAACAACCCCTGGACATTATAAGAAAATCATATATCTGAAATAAGCGACTTATTAACTGCCCACACGGGGCCAATGGACATGCACTCGTTTAGTTATCGAGCTCTTCATCCTCTCTCTCTCTCTCTCTCTCTCTCTCNNTCTC